TCTTTCTTCGTGGACAACCCATTCCAAAAAGAATGCTTCCACCAGAAGAACTGGTACCGTATTACACCGATGCAAAGAATCGTGGGTACCTGGCAGATCCTGCCAAATTTCCTGAAGCGCGACTTGAACTTGCCAGGAAGTACGGTTACATCTTACCCGATATCACTAAAGATGAACTCTTCAAAATGCTCTGTACTAGGAAGGATCCAAGGCAGATTTTCTTTGGTCTTGCTCCAGGATGGGTGGTGAATATGGCCGATAAGAAAATCCTAAAACCTACAGATGAAAATCTCCTTAAGTATTACAGCTCATGAATTCCCATCCGAGAAAGCAGAGCTTGTTAAAGAGGACTGGAATAGGGACCGAAAGATGTGTATTTGTCATTGCACTATCCTTATGAACAACTTTCCAGATGATGATGTCACTTTTCAGTGTACTCAGATCTCTCATTTTCATTTAAAATTAAAATGGCAGGAAACAAGGACTGCATAGGGAAACTGAGTCTGTGTGGGTTCTGTCTCAAAGATACAAGCTCTCTGATAGTCTGTGGAAGGTAAAGGACAACTATTTGGGGCTATTTCTCGTTCGTTTTTTCAATGATGTTTTTCATCCAGGCCTTGTTACTGTTACAGATCAGAATGAATGTGCAAGTGGGATGGGAATGACCTGTAGGCCTGCTCCGCCAAGACCAGAGCGGAGGGAGTGCGTTGGTGACGCCTCTTAATCTGTAGCCTCAGGGAAGCACTGCTACCCAGTGTCAAGATGGTAAAACCTCCGCCCGAAGAGTAAGAGCAGGATGTATGCTTCAGGTGTGAGGCTGATGAGTAGCTGCTAGGCAGATTTGCTAGCAGCGTTGAAGGTGAGAGGAACAAAAACCCGCAGGTGAATTTATTTTCTCAGTTCTATGGTCAAAGTGGACAGTGATGATTAAACCATTAACGTGTTTTATTGAAGAACGTAAGTGTTCTAGTTTAAATTGATACAATTTTACTTACCTGACATTGGAGACCTTCATCTTTCAGTCATTACAAATGATTTTGAAAAAACGGTTTGAATATTATTGGAGCAATAAAAACAATTGGCAACGTGAGAATTAAACTTAGTTAATGTAAAAGATTCAGCAGTTAGTAAGATGTGTTTTTGAGGTAGTCTCCCTCTGTTTCCCAGGCTGGAGTCCAGTGGTGTGATCTCAGCTCACTGCAGCCTCTGTGTTCCAGGTTCAGGCAAGCAGTTAGTATGATTATTTAGCTTCTCAAAGAGACTTTATATCCAAATCATGTGAAACCTTAATTTACATTGAACAATTAAAGATAATTCATAATTCTTCCACAGTAGAAATGAAATGATTCCTGGCTGGTTATTTTCTTAAAAATTAAAACATTTGAAAAATTCAACAATGCAGTATTTGCTTTGTTTGCTTATCGATCTCATGTTTTGTTCTGAGTTTCAATTTATAAAATAATTTATGTCCCAAGAGTATCTTTCAGCTTTTATCCAGGATTATATAATTGACTTGTTACTAAACAATTCCTTAGAACCCAGGACTTACAAGAATTAGGACCAGGACCATCTTCTTTTTTTCTTTTTTTTTTTTGACATGGAGTTTTTTTCTTGTTGCCCAGGCTGGAGTGCAGTGGTGTGATCTCGGCTCACTGCAACCTTCCAGGTTCAAGTGATTCTCCTGTCTCAGCCTCCAGAATAGCTGGGATTACAGGTGCTCACCACCATGCCCTGCTAATTTTTTGTATTTTTAGTAGAAAAGGGGTTTCACTATGTTGGCCAGGCTGGTCTCAAAGTCCTGACCTCGATCTGTGCACCTCAGCCTCCTAAAGTGCTAGGACTACAGGCGTCAGCCACTGTGCGCAGCTGACCATCTTCTAGAATAACATGAAATCCTATGAGTTTCAAAGGATAGGCAGAAATTTAAAAACATGCTTCTATTTTTCAGATACCCAAGTGACAGAGTTGGTGTGTCAGCGTTCATTTTGGCTCCACTGACAGGATCCCCAAATCACAGTGCTTCAATGAGATAATTTATTTTTTTCTCACACAAAGACTTGAGATCAGTTGAAGGCTGGTTGCTGGCTCTGCTCCACAAAGTCTCAGCCTGAGATGCTCTCATTCTTAGAGTGAGATGCTCATTTTCATGGTCCAAGTAGACAAAGAGCAAGCAAGCCTGCTTTTTTCCTAAGGAAGGTTCCACGTAAAACCCTTACTTATATACCATTGGCCAGAACTTGGATACCAGTACCATCCCATGGTTTTGAAGGGGGTTGAAGCCTTTACTTTGGCACCTTCTGAGCTGAGCTGAAAAATTCTATTATGATGAGTGCATAAGAGAATAGATGTATTGGACAACCAGCAAGGGAACTGTCACCTGTGTTGGTGTTGAAACCTCAACTCTGAAGTTAAATTGACTTAACAGTAGACAAATACAGGAAAAGTGTACAATCATTTAATTCTATACCATCTGGAATGCAAGGTTCAGTAAGTCAGATAATAACCAATAAGTTGATTAATCTATTAATCTTGATTTACAAAGTATTTTTGAAGAGTGATGGTGTCAGGCGGTTGAACCACAGTGACTTCCATCTTAAATAGGGCCTGAGTAAAAGACCTAGTGGGCTGCATTCCGGGTGGTTAGGCGTTCTTAGTCACAGGGTGAGATGGGGTTAGCATGAGGTTCAGGTCACAAAGACCTTGCTGATAGAACAGATTGTGGTAAAGATGCCGGTGAAATCCCACCAAAACCAACATGGCGATGCAAGTAGCCTCTGGTCATCTTCACTGCTCATTATACACTAATTGTGATGCATTCGCATACTAAAAGACACTCCCACCAGGGCCGTGACAGTTTACAAAATGCCATGGCAATGTCAGAAAGTTACCCTATATGGTCTAAAAAGGGGAGGAACCCTCAGTTCTGGGACTTGGCCACTCCTTTCCCAGAAAACTCATGAATAATCCACCCCTTGTTTAGCATATAATAAACAACCATAAAAATAGCCAACCAGTGGCCGATGCTGCTGTTCTGCCTATGGCGTCGCCATTCTCTTATTCCTTTACTTAGTATAAACTTGCTTTCACTTTATGGACTGATCCCAAATTCTTTCTTGCACAAGATTCAAGACCCCTCTCTTGGGGTCTGAATCAGGACCCCTTTCCTGTAACAATGGCAAAGCACAGGAAACCATCTGAGAAGAGGCATTCACTTTTTTCTATGGACTGCTTTTAATAAACGTTTTTAGCAATAAAGCCATCCTCCTATGTTAAATAATTTAAAAGTCATATTTGAATATAACATATGGAGGAAAAGAGAGGGTAAGATGCAAAGCAGGTTGGTAAGAAAAGCGCCAAGGGGCCAGGCATGGTGGCTCGCACCTGCAATCCCAGCACTTTGAGAGGCTGAGGTGGGTGGATCACCTGAGGTCAGGAGTTCGAGACAGCCTGGCCAACATGATGAAACCTCGTCTTTACTAAAAATACAAAAATTAGCTGGGTGTGGTGGTGCATGCCTGTAATCCCAGCTACTCGGGACGCTGAGGCAGGAGAATCACTTGAAGCCAGGAGGTGAAGTTTGCAGTGAGTGGAGAGCATGCCAGTGTGCTCTAGCCTGGGCAATAGAGTGAGCCTCCATCTCAAAAAACAAAGAATGTGTTTTTATTGACTATTGCAGCGAGTCAAGAGCAGAATACATTCATTCTCTCACTGTCTCTTGTCTCTCTCTCTCTCTCTCTCTCTCTCTCTCTCTCTCTCTCTCTCTCTTTTCCTCTGTCACCCAGGCTGAAGTGCGGTGGTGTGATCTTGGCTCACTGCAATCTCCACCTCCCAGGTTCAAGTGATTCTCCTGCCTCAGCCTCCCGAGTAGCTGTTTCAGGCGTGCACCACCATGCCTCACTAATTTTTGTAATTTTGGTAGAGATGGGGTTTCACCATGTTGGCCAGGCTGGTCTTGAACTGACCTCAAGTGATCCAGCTGCCTCGGCCTCCCAAAGTTCTGGGATTACAGGTGTGAGCCACTGCGTCCGGCCAAAATACATTTTCTTCTTGTTAAATCACTGCTGAGAAAAGACCTAAAATACTTCCAATCATTATAAAAGTAATTCATGCTTGTTTTGAAACTTATGTAATATAAGAATAAAAAGTAAAAAGCAAAAGCATATTCTTTTGCTATTGCCTGTCTCTGAACTACTTCCCAAAGGTAACTAACTAAACCACTGTGAGCTGTAGTTTTTTAAATCAAAAGGAGATAGACTAGGTGTACTGTTCTGGACTTGCTTAAATATCTAACAGAGTTTAAAGACTTCTGAGTATTTTTTAATTTAAAAAGTTTATTTTGGGCTTTGCTGAAATTTAGAATGTCTACAAAGCACATTACAGACTGGAAAAAAAAATTTCCAAAATATATCACAGAATGTATAAAGAATTCTTACAATACAGTCCAGGCACAGTGGCTCACGTCTGTAATCCCAGCTCTTTGGGAGGCCGAGGTGGGTTAATCACTTGAGGTCAGGAGTTTAAGACCTGCCTGGCCAACATGGTAAAACCTTGTCTCTACTAAAAATACAAAAATCAGGCAGGGTGCAGTGGCTCATGCCTGTAATCCCAGCACTTCGGGAGGCCGAGATGGGTGAATCACAAGGTCAGGAGTTTGAGACCAGCCTGGCCAATATGGTGAAACCCTGTCTCTACAAGAAATAAAAAAATTAGCTAGGCATGGTGATGGGCGCCTGTAGTCCCAGCTACTCAGGAGGCTGAGGCAGAATCGCTTGAACCTGAGAGGTGGAGGTTGCAGTGAGCCGAGATAGCACCAATGCACTCCAGCCTGAGTGACAGAGCGAGACTCCATCTCAAAACAAACACAAACAAAAACAAAAAATACAAAAATTAGCTGGGCATGGTGGCATGTACCTGTAATCCCAGCTACTAGGGAGGCTGAGGTGGGAGAATCACTTGAACTCGGGAGGTGAAAGTTGCAATGAGCTGAGATTAAAAAAAAAAAAAAAAATTGTTTAGAATACAGTGAGAAGAAGATACAAACATAGTGAGATGCCAGGAACTCTGTGTGTTGTCAGGCCCCAGGGCCTCTTCTATCCTTGTCAAGGGGAGGGTTAAACTTTCATACAACGCATTTTCTGAGTATTTATTATTAGGGTATTCAAACTGCGCTCCTTTATTCTTAAGCCATTTAAAATGGAATCCATCTGAGATGGCGTCTTGCTCTGTCACCCAGGCTGGAGTACAGTGGTGCGATCTCAGCCCATTGCAACCTTTGCCTCCTGGGTTCAAGTGATTCTCCTGCTTCAGCCTCTTGAGTAGCCTGGGACTACAGGTGTATGACACCAGCTAATTTTAAAAATACTTTTAGTAGAGACAGGGTTTCACCGTGTTAGCCAGCATGGTCTCCATCTCCTGACCTCGTGATCTGCCGGCCTTGGCCTCCCAAAGTGCTGGGATTACAGACATGAGCCACCACGCGCGGCCCACTTCGTCTTTTAAACTGTAAAATACAGTGACCAGCTTTATAAAATACGAAGACTGTGTAAAATGACCTCTGAAGTCTGTTATAATACACTGATGATACCCTTCAGCTGAGGAAAACTTTGACCTCAACTTATTTGCATGGAAATGAACTTCCTTAAATTTAAACGCCTCCTGTGTGATATCCATGTAAGAGGTTCCGTTTTTTTCATCTCAGAGTGTGCTGGCCTTGCTCTAGATAACTTACTGTCTTGCCTTATTTGTGCCTGAAGAGGTTTTCCTTTTGCGATTCAGTTCACAATTGAACGTTTGGAGGGCCTGGTGCTGCCTCAACAGGAAGAATTATTAATGGGGAACGAGGGAGGAAGTTAGTCACGTAAAGATAGACTGCACAGGCAACAGCCTTCCAGGCTCGCAGTGACCCTTGGGTTCCCTCCCCCATCCTCCAAGTGATGTGACCGCACTACCCTGACAACAGTTATGGAAGGGAAAAGAGACAGTCACACATTGGACTGCCTTCTCCGGGGCTGTCTTAGGTGGCCTACAGGTGAAAGGAAGTTGGGATAGGATGATAAAGGGAAGATCGAAAACAGGAAACAGATGTCTGCTGACAAATAATGCTCGGATAGTACTTATTCAGTGAGCACGGGCTTAGTCACAACCAGCTGTATCCTGGTCTCAGTATGAGAATCGTGCAGATAAGTTCTCAGCCAAAACAGGCACGTTCTGCAAAGTCCATCCATTCTGTTGAATAAAGTTAATCTTCAAATTGCTGTATAGCTGGGAAACTCAAGTTCATTTTAACTGTGATGCTGCTATACCAGGGTCCCTGTGCCATGTACAAGGACAATGGGACAGAGCGTGCACTAGCAGATGGTATTGTTATTTTGTTAAGGGTTCACATCCCTTGGAAATCTAAGTATAAAAGTAAGAATGCTTCAGTCTAGATTTTAGTCCTCTCGTGGTATGTGGCGGCTTCCAGTATATATGGCTAGTTTGCATCCAATCCATTGAGTTAATCCGCATTTTAAAATTATTTTTTTAACTCCTTAGAGAAATCATTGCTAGGGATTTCCTGTTTATTGAGTTCCTGGGTTTTCTTTTTTAAAAATGTAATGCTACTCTATTCTTTGAAAATGAGAGTGGCTCTGCCATAGCTGGGCCAAATGTCAGGTAACAGCAGTGTGACCCATTGCGGTTCGCGTCAGAGAATACAGCGTGCTCTCTGATGTTCCTACAGATGCCAGAATGGCTGCATTTCGGTGTTTTACTAAAGAGACTTTGCATGGTAGAAGTAGCGCGGCTTCCACGTCACCACACCTGGATTTGAATCCAGGCTCTGACAGCAGCTGTGTGACCTTGGGCACATCACCTAACTGCTGCGCTCTCATCTGTCTCACATGTGAAATGGAGATACTACCCACCTCTGTGTTTCGTGTGTGGGAGACTCAATGAGGTTATTTGTGGGGAGACACCAAGGTCAGCCAGTTTGCAGAGCCACCTGGAGCAGTTTACTTGGGCTCAGACGTCAAGACTAGCTGTGTGACCTTGACAGGTTACTTAACATCTCTGTGCTTCAGTCTCACTATCTGAAAAATGGGGATGATTAATGCTAATGCATATGGTTATGAGGATTGAAAGAAATCAGTATGTGTAATGCGCTTACCATAACGCTTGACACATAAATGCCCCGTAAGTGTTCACAAATCAACTATTTTTTAGAGCCCCTCTCACGTGATAGCCATTTTATGAAAACATTTTCTTTTTTTTGAGACGAAGTTTTGCTCTGTCACCCAGGCTGGAGTGCAGTGGCACGATCTCGGCTCACTGCAACCTCCACCTTCAGGTTCAAGCAATTCTACTTCAGCCTCCCTAGTAGCTGGGACTACCGGCTCGTGCACCATATTGGTCAGGCTGGTCTTGAACTCCTGACCTCATGATCCACCCACGTCAGCCTCCCAAATTGCTGGGATTACAGGCATGAGCCACTGTGCCCAGTGAAAACATTTCTCAAGATTTTTGTGGTTAGCCTTTAATGGATTGTTCTTGTATCTCATTAATGAAAAGAAATGCAGCCTAAACTATGATTTTTACCTATTGAGTATGTTTTGAAAGGGGAGCGTGGTCGGGATTAGACCCAGAACTAGGAAGGTGAAGCTGAATTTCTGACTTACTCACTAATTTTCTTTGCAAGCTGGGCGGGTGGCTCACGCCTGTAATCCTAGCACTTTGGGAGGCTGAGGTGGGTGGATTACCTGAGGTCAAGAGTTCAAAACCAGCCTGGCCATCATGGTGAAACCCCATCTTTAAAAAAAAATTTTTTTTTGTTTGCAAAACCTTCAGGTCCCATTAATTCTGGAATAGGTATTTAAATTGATAGGGAAACATTTAAATAGCTAATGTTATCTGATTCTAAAAACTACGTATTTGAGGAAATCTGGAAATACAAAAAGGAAAAAAGAGTTAATTTAAGATTTAAGTTACTTAAGATTTTGACTATTCGATGCTCTGGTTTTTGTTTTTCTCTCTATAGATATAACTAATTTTTGTCATTTTCACCAATTAAGAATTTATTGTTTAAAAGATATTTAAATGGAAACATAAGGTCTAGAACTCACTAATATGAATAGAAAGACTTAATTTTTTTCTTTTAAGAAAACTTTTCATTTTTCTTTCCATTAATGGAAGCATTTATTTATTTTATTTTGAGACAGAGTTGCACTCTGTCACCCAGGCTGGAGTGCAGTGGCATGACCTTGGCTCACTGCAACCTCTGCCTCCTGAGTTCAAGCTATTCTCCTGCCTCATCCCAGGTAACTGGGATTATGGGATTCTTGCCACCATGCCTGGATAATTTTTTGTATTTTTAGTAGACACAAGAGTTTTACCGTGTTGACCAGGCTGGTCTTGAACTCCTGACCTCAAGTGATCTGCCCGCCTTGGCCTCCCAAAGTGCTAGGATTACAGGTGTGAGCCATCACGCCTGACTTAATTCACTTTTCTTACAGTGTACAATTTAGTGGTTTTTAGTGCATTCACAGAAATTGCAACTATCATTGCTGTCTAATTCTAGATCACCATATTTCTAGAAGTCGTCACCCAAGAAAGAAACCTCCTACTCATTTAAACTCCATTCCACCCTTCCCTCAGCTCCTGGCAACTGCCAATCTGCGTTCTGTCTCTGTGCAGTTACCTAATCTGGACATTTCATGTAACTGGAATTATGTAATATAAGCCTTTTGTGTCTGGCTTCTTTCTCTTGGCAGAATTTTTTTTTTTTTTTTTTTTTTTTTTTTTTTTTTTTTTTTTTTGAGACAGAGTTTCGCTCTTGTTGCCCAGGCTGGAGTGCAGTGGTACGATCTCAGTTCACTACAACCTCTGCCTCCTGGGTTCAAGTGATTCTCCTACCTCAGCCTCCCAAGGAGCTGGGATTACAGGCCACCACACCCAGCTAGTTCTATATTTTTGGTAGAGGACAGGGTTTTTCCATGTTGGTCAGGCTGGTCTTGAACTCCTGACCTCAGGTGATCCACCTGCCTCAGCCTCCCAAAGTGCTGAGATTACAGGTGTGAGCCACCTCGCTCCACCTTACTGGGTGTAATGTTTTGAAAGTTATCCATGTGATGGCATGTTCCACTACCTCATTTCTTTTTGACGGCCAAATAGCTTTCCATCATGTGGTGTGCTTATGCAGTCATCCGTTGGTGGACATGTGGATTGTTTCCATGTTGGGGTTAGTATAAATAATGCTGCTGTAAACATATGTTTGCAAGTCTTTGTATAAACATGTTTTAATTTCTCTTGGAAAGATACTTAGCAGTGAAATTGCCGAGTAGAATAGCAAATGTATGTTTAACGTTTTCTTTTTCTTTGAGGCAGTGTCTCAATGTATCACCTAGGCTGGAGTGCAGTGGTACCATCTTGGCTCACTGCAACCTCTGCCTCTTGGGTTTAAGCGATTCTTGTGTCTCAGCCTCCCAAGTAGCTGGGATTACAGATGCATACCACCATGGCCCAGGCAACTTTTTGTATTTTTAGTAGAGATGGGATTTCGCTGTGTTGCCCAGGCTGCCCTGGAGCTGCTGGTTGCAAGTGATCCACCTGTCTCAGACTCCCAAAGTGCTGGTATTACAGGTTTGAGCCACTATGCCCGGCCCATGTTTGACTTTTAAAGAAACTGCCAAATTGTTTTCTAAAGTGGCTGCACCATGATCCTCCCCCCTTAGCCTCCTAGAGTGTTGGAATTACAGGTGTGAGTCACTGCACTCAGCCTACACTCTTAGATACTAGACAAACTGTTGTTATATTAATAGTACATTAAAATAATGTAAATTTTTAAAATTACGGTAACATTTACTTAACATTCTCCCACCAGCAATGAGTGTGCCTGTTTCTTACATCCTTGCCAACATTTGTTATCTGCATTTTTGATGATAACCGTTCTAGTGGGTGGAAATGGTATCTCATTGTGAGTTTCATTTGCATTTCACTAATAATGATGCGGAACATGTGGGACAAGAATAGCTTCTTGGCCATTTGTATGTAAGAGACTTCATGGTCTTCTGTGTACTTGAAATTTTATAAAGATAATTCTGATGATTATTGAGCATCTATATATGTCAGGAAGTTTTAAAAACTTTATCTGTTTA